ATAACCTTGTTATACAGTCAAGATCGCCAGCCAAATCATCAATGTATATCAAAAATAGTAGAGGCCCCAAGACAGAGCCTTGAGGAACTCCACGATTTATCTTTGCAGGTTTAGAAGTCTGACCGTTGACGACTGTAATGATCGATCTGTCAGATAAATAACTGCGAAACCACTGTAACAAGGCACCTCGAATTCCTTTTTTTATCAACTTGTACAGCAATGCAGAATGCCAAACTTTATCGAAAGCCTTGCTGACGTCTAAGTAAACAGCAATACAATCATCACCACTTTCAAGATCCCGATAAATATTATGTACAAATTCGATTAATTGGGTCACAGTACTGTGATATTTGCGAAAGTCAGATTGCATCATATTAAGAAGGTTATTTTTTACCAAGTGAGTGTAAACCGCGCGAAACACAATACGTTCAAAAACTTTTGACATTACAGGAAGCAATGTTATCGGCCTGTAATTACAAGACAGCCAGTGCTCCTTGGACTTATAAAGGCTCGTAACATGTCTGATCTTTAAACTAGAAGGAAAAACACCGTCATCAAGTGACTGTTGACAAATACTTCTCAAACTATCAGTTATAAAAAGTTTCGCCTCACGCAGCATTCTGCATGTAATACCAGGACTACAAGCCTTGGAAGTGCTGATACCACCAATCATTTTATCTATATCAGAATCAGATACTGAAATATTCTCAACTGAAACAGTAGATGTATGTAAAGGATAATTAAATGTACGATTCTCATCAACGGATGACATGAAACATACTGATGCAAAGTACGAATTCATAAGATTTGCTTTACCAAGATTATCATGTACCCATTGAGATTGAAGGTTTAGTAAGCTAGGAATGTTAACAGTAGCTCTGCGTTCCATCGAAGCTTTTAACAGTTTCCACCAGTTTTTATTATTAACTTGAATATTATTAAGTTTGGCAAAATACGCTTTTTTCTCGTCATCACACTGAGTAAAAAATATTTTGGATGCTGAACGATAGAGAGCATAATGTTTGGTATTCTGGGTATGTTTATATGTTCTATACAGTCTATTACGCCTCTTGTAAAGACACCGCAAACTTTCAGTAAACCACGGTTTATCACGCTGATGAAGTGTAATAACTTTAGAAGGAATAGCAAGTTCATCTGCTTTTAAGATACAGCGACATAAAGCCTGATAGCGTGCATCAACGGAGACACCAAACATATAAACGTTAGGATTATTCCGTAGTTGTTGCGAAATCTGGTAACAGTAATAACCCCAATCAACTGCATTATAATTATATATTGTACGAGTAGCATGACCAGACTGATACATCTTACTGTTAAAAGTACATTGCACAACAGAATGATCACACTTTCTACACAATGGTCGAAGAACAGAAACGATGCGAATATTATTTAAATTACTAGTTATTATTAGATCGAGACACGTTCTAGATTTCGGCCTAGTAGCTTCACCGACTAACTGATGCAGATTAAGCGTATCTAATAGGTTCGCAAACTTTATACCTTCACTCGTTGAAGGTGGAGATGTACTGCTGTTCATGATCCAATTTTTATGATGTGTATTAAAATCACCAATACATAGCACACAGTCAAATTTAAAAGTTTGCGCAAGTTTTTCTAGAATCACTTTGAAATATTCCAGAAAAACATCATAGACGGCATTCGTTGAATCTGGTCTGTAAAACAGACCGACAAGTGTTTGACCTATCCGCACTTCTTCTCAATATAAAATTGTATACGATCTTCATTGGATTCCTCTCACTGATCATTTTCTAATTCTCCGTTCTAATAATTCTAATAATTCCGTTCTTTGGGTTTTATATATATCACAATTAAGAAAGTAATGAGGAAGACTTACAGTTTGGCCACAACACGGTTTCAGGAGCTATCCGCGCTTCTTCTCAATATAAAATTCTATACGATCTTCATTGGATTCCTCTCACTGATCATTTTCTAAAAATGAGACTCATGCTTTTTCGACGCATAATCACAGGACGTGCGCCCTTGATACTGAACTTTCCTTAGTTTGTCAATATTATAGTCAGATGTCGAAGAATAGAGCGTACAGCCATAGTGTAAAGCTGACATGCCATATGCTTGATATAAACGTTTGTTGCATGTGTACCACTTGAATGGAACAATCTATCTAAGGAAATCTCAGCATCTACTTCTACGACAATGTTTAAAACCAAATTTAATACCTCGATTTTGAAAAACTCAAATAAAAACTACTATCTAAATCTTGATGTCCCGCGGCGTCTTGAAGTTTTTTTCACGCGATGTCGAGTAGACTTCCGTCCATTGCGCGAAATACTAAAGGAAAGACATTTGCTAAATATCGGTGAACCGGATTTGCGCGATTGTGGCCAAACTGGAAGTCTTCCTCATTACTTTCTTAATTGTGATATATATAAAACCCAAAGAACGGAATTATGCGAATCATTACTATCTGTTGGATCCTGTGTTCTTGAGAATTCACAAGGATTTGGACGCGATGAAGTTGATTGCTAGTGCTGTTACAGAATATATCAAAGAAACAAATCGCTTTAAATGATTCATCACTTGCCAAAAAAATCATTTATTCTTATTTTTATACAATCGAATTCCCTCAAATTTGCGTCACCGTTCCCCTACCCTTCTTTAATTATCATTTACTCTTTCCTTTCTTCATTTCTCGTTTTCTTTTGTTGTCTCTTTTACGTCTGTTCATTCACTTGTTGATTATTTCTGCTTTCATTCTTGAAGAATTTAGTTCATCATTCAACGCTTTGTCGCTAACAAGTAAGAATGTTATAATGAGCAATAGATCGGCTATGTTCTTACTTGTATTATTATTTTTAATAAAGTTTATTTTAAAAAGAAAAATGTTTACGGTGCTTTTTATGCTTTTTTTATGCTTCGGATAGATAGTTCTAAACAAATACCATCCGTTTTCTGTTGAACACTTAACCAGTCACACCTATCTTTATTCAGCACTGCTGATATCTTATTTGGATCAATACTACCTTGGTTCTCAATGCCAGTTTTAATGATCATTTGAAAATTGTCGAGTGTTAATGATATTAAACTTGATAAGTTTTCTCCATTGAAAAAATCTAAATCTCGAACATATCCAGTAAGTCCAAATCGATTTAAATTTGGTACTATATTTAATATGTTGAACAAATTAACATAGGAAACATTTTTTATATTTATTTGTAAATATTTTAATTTCAACACGAAATTATTTGTCAATGTTTGAATATTACCGCAAGTAACCACATTTAGATACTCTAATTTTGGCGAATATTTGAGTACAAGTAATAAATCATTTATATCACATTGTAGAGATAAATGTTTTAGATTATTTGGTATTATTACTATGTGATTAGCACCATTTAATGAAATAAAAGAATCGAATGCAACATAAAACATCTTTAACTGTGATAGATAATTTTCACATAAAATCATTCTACATACAGAATTCAATTCAAGCAAAGGAACACAAATAAACAATTTGGATAATTTACATAAATTTTGTAATTGTTTTAATATCGATAACAGTGAAAAAGACATCGAACAGCGCGCTACTTTTAAGATTTCAAGTTGATGAAATTTTATTTGACTATTGGATGAAAACAACTCAATTGGTTTTGATAAGGTTAATGATACTACACGATCAGCATATTTCGATAAAATTGAATCACAAAAATCGTGAAACAATCGATCAGGTATATTTTTTGTATCGAACGTTAATCGAAGAAATTTGTCATTCAAAATGCAGTTGAACCGTGCATTAAGTTTATCGAATGCATAGTGTACTGTAGCAACTGATAAATTATTAAGTATGATTAATAAAACTTCATCAGACAAATCTTCTAATGTGGTTATCATATTTTCAAACACAATCGACGATCTTAAAACAACAAAACATAGCAAACGTCAAATAATTATAAGTATAATATATTTAAGTAACCAGCAACTCAAAAGTTTGTTTTTATTTTATTTACGTATGGTTGGAGAGAACTCACCGAATGATGTAAAAAAGTGTTCATGTTTAAATTTGCATCTATGAAGCTGCATGAGCAATTCAAGGTTCTTCTCATGTTCTTTGCCCATATTAGGTTTTAATTATGTTAATTCAAATTTATACTCAGTTTTACCAGGGATATAAAGTAGTTCTGCCTACTGGAAAATGTTATTATACAGGCAAACATTCAGATAAGTTCACTTTCATCTCGATATAAAACAAACACTTCTAGATGCACTTAGACAAAATGTTTTATTTCTGTTAAAAGGATCCATCCACATGCCTTTCTCGATCTCCGACAACCAGATCTTTCTAGAAAGTTACACGATTCCACACGCGCAACTTATCATTGAATAAGTGTCTTTGTCGAGCAAACTATCGCCGAACCCCACTAAACTCTAAAAGTGTCCTCTGGTTTATAAGGGTTTGTCGAGGTCCTCTTTCTTTTTGTCTCTAGAAAATTTTCTCCAAAACTCTTGAAAGTGGGACTTTCAGAAAACATGGTTTTTGGACTACATCAGTTGAATTAAAAGTTTTTTAAAAATCACCGTTAGGACATGTAACATTCTAAATAACATATTCGGATTCAGCGTCGAAAGGCGAACATTTTGAGGGGGGAAATCAAGTCTTCAACTCAATTTTCAATTTTTCAATTTTATTTAAAATTTGAAAAATTCAGTTTTTTTCAATACGAATGTAGCGCAGTTCATCTAAGAGATGGAGACTCGGTTCAAACGTGGTTGGAGAAAGAAAGAAAAACTGAACAAATGTGGAGGTTTGGCGAGGTTCTAATTCTACCTGATCAAGGTTGTCTAGATCTTCAGAAGATCTCCTTTTAATTTCACTTTAATTTCTCTAGTTTTGAAGCTAAAACTTTTCTGCCGAACTTTTTCAAAGCACTAATGGCCAAAAACAATCAAAATAAGATATTTCAACACTAGCGATGGTGTTGGCTGCTATATAAACGATATTCACCTTCATCACATGGTCAGCGCAGGTATGTGAGAAGAAGAAAATTAAGGCGTTAAATTATCATATTCGTGATCTCCATGTCAAACTGTGCTGTTCATATGATTGCCAGTCCTTCCTCTAGAGAAAAAAGCTTCCGTCGAAATTTAGCCGAAATGCTTGATGGGACCCTAAGCTGAACGTTTTCTGTACAGGGAGCATCGGCAATATTAATAGCACAACTGGACATGGCGATCACGAGTATGATAATCAAAACTTTTAACTTCCTCCTTGTCACATACCTGCTCTGGCTATATGGTACTCAATCACATTGATCTTTTTTTATATAGCCTGTACAATTTTTTCCCAAAGTCTGGTATCAGAAGCCTAAACTTCAGCTTTGTTCCAGATCGTTATTGTTTTTTCTCGCCTAAACAGCGCCTGATAGAAAAGCTTATACGAAATAAATCAGATTTTAAATTAATAAAGAAATGAAGTGGTTGAGTCTTTTATTCTTTAATACAACGTTTGGAAAATAGCTTTCTGAGTCTACTCTCTCTACAGGGAGACGCTCTTAAGAGTAGATCAGAATTCCACTTTACCCTCGCGACGCTATGAAGGTTCTATTATTATTGTGTATTCGCCATCTATTATTAACAAGCAGAAGTTTTTTATCTGTACTTCCTGTTCTGATTGTACCATTTTTCGGTTTAAAAGTAGTTCAGTCTATCGATTGAGCGATAAAGTTTCACTCAGACAGTTTCAGAATTACATCCGTTTGACTAGTACAAGTAAATGTTGGTGCTATTAGTGCTAAGCGAAAGTGTGAGAAAGTCTCAGCTCGTGACAAAAAGAAGAATATTTGGTATCGTTCGTAGCAGTTATTTGCCCCAATAAAAAATCAAAGTATTGGCAATTTTAACGTAATCACTCAGAATCGTTTATTTTTCGTTTAGATTAAAAATAGTTATCAATCGTAACCTACAGGCATGGGCAACTCCGAGGGGTACTGAGTCCGAGTCCATTTTGAGTCCGGTAATCTTGTACATTCTTTTTTGATGAGAGTGATTTATATTTTAATTTGCTGAGCCCTGGATAGATATTTGATTTTTCGAAAATAAGGTTACGTTCCATGTCCGTTTCCCGAACAAAAGTTTCAATTTCATGTGAAACAGTAGGTGTTATTATTTCGCTTTTCATTTTTCTCTGCTCATTTGTGTTAGAAGTTGAATAAATCGGACTCAAAATACAAAAACTCAAGTCCGAGTCCGAGTTCTTCAAAAAGCTCTCCAGTTCGAGTCCGCCAAAAGATCTTCCAGTCCGAACTCGGACTCGCCCAAGCCTGAAGCCTGGTAACCTACAACCAAACCTATAAAAATTTTATGCCTAAACCTAACCTAGCTCATGTTTAACCTGCAGCGCTCTACACGCGATTTCGCTCTTGTTACAGAAGCGTCTGAACGCGTTTGTCTCTGATCGAGATTCATGAAAGAGAACTGTCTCGAAAACATCGCATGTCTGGTCATAATATATTGTTTTCGTGATTGAGTCAATAGGCTTTCAAGTCAGCTATTTAAGGTGCAACAGGTCTTTGGAAACAAGATACAAAACTGAAAATCTGACGGTAGGATTTCATATTTTGAAAGTACAATCTTACTATGAGTAAACTTGTTCAAAAAAATACTCTTAATTTAACTTACTTCATTGTAGATTAATAAAACTTATTTCTATTCTTCATTTCTTTTTTCAGGTTCAGCAACATTTTTTTCTGTAATGTATGCTTATATTGACATTTCTTTCCTTAGCTACTACCGTTATAAATATACACCGCTGCCAATAATAACGTCTGCGAGATTCTTTTCTTGTTTCAGTTTCTTTGAAGTGCGAATAATCAACTTTTAAAATTTTGAGTTCTTTTAAATTTATTACATTAAAAACGTAAAGAGGACAGTGTATTTTGTAAAAAAATGCTTGCTAGTGTTGCTCTTTCGGAGTAAAAATGTGAAAAGTTCTTCTGAAGGATGTAGGTGCGGTATTGGCGTCTGATTTCGAGATCCGGCAAACCTAGTTTATGGACTAAGGACACACTATCGGTTTCGTAATTGAAGTTTCTGACAATAATACGACTTGATAAACGTTGAACCACCTCAAATAGCTCAAGAAGTGCGTTAAATTTACAATTGTAAAGAGCAACACAGTAATCGGTTTCGGGTAAAACGCACGTAAGGTATAAAGAACAGAAATGTATTATAAGTATATAATTTACAAACGTTTTCAGTGTTACCTGGTGAATAGTAGAAATACAATAAAACAATAAAGGGCCATAGATGCTCCATGGTTCACTGCTAGAAACAATCATACAAAGTTATCTGTTCGAAAGATATGAAGTAACCAAGACAACGTTGTTTCTTTAATATCGTAAATTCCCAGCTTTAGCAATAGACTTCTCTGTCAAACAGAATCAAATGCTTTACCTACGTTTAGAAATACTTCTTGAACTAAATTCTAGTCATCAGTACCTTTTCTAATATAATGTATTATTTCGTGAGGTTTAGTTGTTGTACTGTTCCGCTTTAGACGGCGTGATTGGTGTTGCCTAGGAGATTGATTCGACTTGGATACGAATAAATATTTGTGTATTAGACGCTCACAAGCCTCAGATAGAGACACTAGCAACGTTACCGTGTAGTAATTACTTACATCAGGAGAATCACTGAATTTGAACAATACATTGCTGAAAAAGTGGGTTTCAGCAGTCAAGATAAATAAGTATAGAAAAAAATGACGATAATAAAGCAGCACGAAGATGGATATGACTAGTGCGAGCGCTCGAAGTATTAGATTAGAAATTTCAGGAGCACAGCATATTTTATATTTACTCTCAATAGATCTTGAATAACATCACTCGCGACAACAGGACAAAATGAGAACGTCGCAGATGTTCGGCTTGAAAGTGACGTAGCTTGATTATGTTTCTGGTTGTTCATACTTCAGATTTTTGTAAAAATAATCGTTTAACATTTACACGTTATAATCAAACAGACATTCACATTATTCTGATTTAATCCAGCTTCTCTCAATTCTTAAGAGTGCTCATCCATTTATATCGAAGCTAAAAATATCTTTTTCTATGCTTGCGTCTAATAATTTTTTCGATCCTAGACTGTACAAGATGTCTCATTCAGTTGAATGGATACTTTCTGTATTGAAAATATTTTTAGCAAAATTCTCTAGGACTTAGAGCTCCGCTGGAGGGGGTTTTCTAGAAAACATTCTTGCAAACTTTTTTCTGGAATTCTGACGCATATTTCCATTTTCTTCGCTTCAGAAATGGAAATGTATCGATCCTTCTTCTAATACTTTTCGCATTAATGTTATTTTTTCCTATCCTCATGTCGTTTGATGCAAACTTTTATGGTGTTAAGTAGTCTTGATAACAAAGCTCCTATTGATCTATTTATACGTGACTAAACCAATCTCGTTTCGTCTCTAAACGCCTACATGATTAACACCTTGCTACAATAAAAAGATCATCCTCTACTAGAAAACCACTGGTGACGGTTTTTTTCGACAAAAAATTCATACAAAATTTCCTATTGGCGAAAGTCTTATCTGGCGAGATTCCAGTTACCCTCAAGAGCACATAGCATAATGTAGTAATTCTACTTATAGTAGTTTGAGATAGCTGTTTTGTTCAGATTATGGTGAAATAAAGTTATTAAATGGATGGAATTTTTCGACGCTGGTCAGGGAACATAAACAGAAGCGCGTACTTGCAATATCATCTGTCGATCTTCGTTACAACTTGAGGACTAATGCAAGATCTACTATAGAAACGGTTGAGACAGTTGACAAAGACTTTTTCGAAGTAGTAGCTGATGAGTGGAATGAATAAATTTCCCACAACATGGATTTCCAAGTCATGAAGTTATCGAAAATGAGAGAGAAATTTCAAAGAGGAAAGTCTCATTGTGCGTCCGTTTCTGCAGAAACTGAAATTCTACATCAAGAGAGCAGCGATCGTCTTTACGGGGCTCAAAGCCAGATTTCCTTCTTTGAACTTTTATCCGTTTGCATGAAAGTGATTCACTATTATATGCGTGTGTGGAAAATAATCAGCAGCGGCAAAGACTTCAAACGACGTTAAGCTTTTTAAATGTGATTACAGTGGATAAACTGCTACTAAACGATTTGAGTCTTGACTGTGATGCTATGGCGATGATCCTGCAGGCTGTTAATACTTTTGTTAAGGAAAGTGGCAGATTTAGCTAGCCAGCTAAAACAAATAATAATACTTACACCTGCACCGAAAGACCACTGCTTGCTGCAGGGCTTACCGTGTTTTTACCGTGTCCGTGGCAGTTGAGATATTTTTGTGATCTGAAATTATGTTATTTTACAAACTATGTATATACGCATGTGGCTTAGAGATAAAATTTTTGTATTATCTTATAAAACTAACTGCTGTTGAGGAGGTGTGAATGATATATATTTTGCATTTTTTCGTATAGTCGACGCATTTGTACTTGTATTCGTTTGCTCTAGCACAACTACTGTATTTAAATGGTGAAGGTTCTACCTATCGTCTTATTTTCAATGTTATACTATTTAATTGAGTCGTCCAAACGTAATCCAGAACAAAATCCAGTAAATGCTCATGGTGGGGCTGATAGTCGGAATGGTAATTGTAACGTGCATGTGGAGAACTTGATCGGTTCGCACAAAGATATCTTGGACCAACATCGAACATTGTTGGATAATCAGAAGGATAATGTTAACAATATTCATAAATTCAATTCGAAACAGCAGCATTAATTAAACATTTTATTCAGATAGCATTAGTCCGAATCATGTGTGCCAGAAGTCGATCATACAAGTGCAAGTGTATTAGTAATCTCAAGGAATGCAAAACATTTCGGGCCTCCTTCTCAACAGCAACCTGATCAAACTCCATTGCAACTGTTAGTGTCTCTTCTCACTACACAACGTCAGTAATCATTATAAAAACTAACAAACTGCTATATGTTCTAGCTATTACTCTTTTTCATTTACCCGTATGTTAAGTTCGCTCCATTTTGTATCTTTTTTTCTTACGATAATAAGTTGTATTTTACTTAACGAAGACTAATAACGACGACATCGCTCGATGGCCTGTTTTCGAATAAAGAATTAAAACAACAATTTTTAAAATATAATTAAGTATGACATTAAATACCAATCATAGCTCTTATTTAGATAATGATAACAGCTTTATAATCAACAAAAATAAAGTATCTAACGAGTAAAACATTTTAAAATCGAACAGAGAAGATTACAAAAATATATAGCATTACATATCAGTTAAAAGGTTTCAGGAAAATTTTGAAGAAGTATAATATCTTTATTTTCGAACGCCCAAAATAAGGAGTGTACGTTTAATCTTAATGTTTTTTTTTATCTTAGAGAACAGCAATAAGAAAATTTAATGACTAATGGTTATCGCTCTTTGCTAATGTTGTGGGATTCTTGTCGAACTTGCTGTGTTATTGTTTACATTAGATGCATCTTTATCTTCACCTTCACCTGATGATGAGAATTGTAATAAATATTTTGCGATATTGACTTTGTTGATTGATGTACGTTGTTCATATATGGCACTTATTTCACATGATAGTAAAGCTCTTGACCATACAGATATATCAGCAATTGAATGTGACAGTGAACTAGCTGTAAAAAAATATAATTGTAATTGAGGTTGTAATTGGAACAGTTGTCGTTGTTCGAGTTCGTCATCGTCCTCATATAATAGTGATGGTGTGTAGAGTGATAACATGTTTAGGTTTTCTTCTTCTTTTAAAGATAAAGATACTAGCTGTCCATTAGCATATAATTGAAGATGACCATCATTTTTTTGTTGTATTATTAAATGATTCCATTCATCATGTGTTAACTGAAATTTTACCGTTTGTTTGTCTGGACTATAACCTTGACAATATGTAAAATAAATACATTGTTGATTATTTAAATGAAACCGAAGAAAAAAGGATTTATCTTGTCCACCGACAGCGTCCAGAGTTAGAATAATATCATCATCTGAACCATATCGATAGACGTCTGAACTGCATCCTAATGGCCTTACCCAAAAACATATGGACCAACCTTGTTTTTCTTCATTAATAATTTTTGATTCAAAATACGTACAACTATAATCTTCATAATCAGCATTTGGTATAGGATGTATGACAGCACATTTACCCAAAAAAGACCATTCGTCAGCAATCTTCACAACAGGGCTATTAAATTTATCATCAAATGTTTCACATTCAATTAATGTCTTTTTATATATATCATTAAAATATTTTGTTAAAAACCATTGGTTTTTTAATGTTAATTCATACCATAAATGACATGTTAATGATATGTTTAATAGATCTGTGAATGATAATGTCGTAGTAACGGATGATGCTGATAGAAAAATTTTTTCCAAAATCTCTGTTGAGATAATGTCATTAATGCAACAACAAAGAGACATCTGAAAGCAGCAAACCCAAAACAAGCTTCTATTAAAGGAATGGACACAATAAAAGACTGCCCTAAACAGAAGACCCCTCTTGAGCTCATCTTGTAAAAGTTGAAATAAAATATCCCTCTATTTTTCAGTTTATTACGTGTAAGTCTTGGAAAATTCATAACAAATATTTCTTACACAATAGTAAGATCTCCCTAAAATCTTTATTCTTAAGGACAGAATAGAAGACCCAGGCCTTTTATTGTGTCAGTCCCTTTACATGGCTAAAAATGACACACAATTGCGAGACATTATGCAAAAAAATCTCACTTAAACTAAATTTACTGTCTATTGCGCCCACATACATTCGTATTAGTCAACGGCTTGTCCACGTAACTCGAGACTTCGCTGATCAAGTTTTTGAAAAAATTATTTTAGAGTAAAACTGAGAGGAGAATATCACTAGATGCAGTTTTTGGCGCTGATTACGAATCTCACATTAGTTTTTCAAAAAAGTCAAATTTTTTCATCAAAAATCCAGTTTTACATTTTTTTGAAAACGGTATTTTCAATTTCCCCACCTAGACGCTTTTCCTAATAAAAATAGAAGGCCATAAATTCGATTTTCTACAAGATTGTTTCTTTTGAAGTTTAGGCTCAAAGCAAGCTTTTTAATAAAGTTTTAAGATTTTCACACAATTCTAAGAAAGTGAAAACATTCTTTTAGCTCTATTATCACGTTAGTCTATATTAGATGCCTAAAACTAAGTCTGATGTGAAAATGAAATCCTTTGAGCGATGTTTAGTGCTCCAACCTTTGTTGGGAAAAACGATTGTCACAGCGTCAAGACGATAAAACATAATTATTGAGGGATCGAAACCGCTTTTGAAAGATTCTTTTTTAGCAATCAGTAGCTTGTTTACTCCTCTACAAACTTTGCTCGAGGCACTTTTTATTAGCTATTCTAAATTCGCAGCAAATTAGCTTTTAATGAGAAGCACTTCGAATTTAGGGCATTTTTTGGCAAACGTCATGCGCCGGAAAACGGTTCTAAAAATTCGAGTCTTCAACCACATACCTTTATTTTTATTCCAAAAGTAGAGTATGGCGAGCTGCGTCAAGAACGAAGTTTCTAGCTCTTACACTTTTTGAGAAAAGCTCAAATTACTGTGTCAAAAATGTCACAGCGGCACGCTTGGACAAGCCGTCAACCACTATTCTAATAGGCATTATGTAGTGGTCTGATCTCACGGGGTGACACAAAGTAACAAAATTATAACAGATTGTTTAGTGAATTAAAAATGGTTTCATTAGTAGCACAAAAAAATGTTTTTGTTCTTGTATTTATCAGTCCGAATCGTATAGTTATTGCATAAGCACCTTGAAATATTTGTTTTTGTTCCCTCTTATGAATGTTGATCGTGATGCTCGTATGATTTACGAAAAGAAAGGGCTCTTTTTTCCCTTTTTTTTTTCTTTTATATAAGCTTTATGATGTGGTGTACTAAAAAAAGAATGACACAGAACAGAACGAGAAGAAAGAGGCGAGGAAGAGGCGAAAAACGAAAAGAGGGAAAAGGTGCATCTGGAAGCGAAGAAATGAACTATGAAGAAAAGCAGGTGCATGAGAGAGTGATGGTATGGCTCAGAAAACAGAAGTGAGATAACTAGTACTCAGAAACGTTGGGTACTTTTGACATATTCTACGATTATTTTATGTAGCTGGTTACGTTAAGCGTAAAGTCGTCACATTTTATTATCAGAAACACTAAAAAACATTGTTTACGTGTGAAGGATAACACAGGCGCTATATTATGCCCATCATTTTTGAACTTAGATTCCCAAGCAAAAACGATCCAATTTTTTGGGTTATTTATCTAGATTCAGCTCCACGTACATCTAGATGCACGTGGATCTGAATCTAGATAAATAACCCAAAAAATTGGATCGTTTTTTCTTGGGTTGTAAATGACGATAGTGTGAACATTTCAAGAGAAAGTGTTTGACTGTTTCTACTTTGTCGCATGCGCAATACTGCTTATATACTAAGTGCCTACTATGCAAATCAAAATTCAGTCGAGAGAATTCAACACGCATTTGACTAAAAAGCATTTCATACTTGCGGTCAACGAGTTTGAACCGTGGCCATTTGTAATATGGGTGCAAAAAATCATGCATCTTTGAGCGAAAGCGAGCCAATTTAACAGTTTGATACAATTCAATAGGTAACTCATTCCACTGCCTAACTACCCGAGGAAAGAATGTGTTTTTCAATTTTTCTGTCCGAGTATGAAAAATATGAAGTTGACTTTTAACGCGAGACCTCAATGACATAGCAACGGTGGGATAATTTGGTATCCTTTGAGAAAGGAACGATGGTTTATTTTAAATAATAACAAAATTTTATTTATGGCATATAAAGTTTCAATTAGATACACTCCCAGATGTTTGTGATTATCAACAAACTTTAAAGTAAAAGCACCAATAAACAACTGTGGCATAACTTTTTCTTTGCCAAATAGCGTAGCTACACATTTTCTCGGATTTAAAGGTAATTGCCAAAAGTCCGACCACCGCTGCACTCTCATCAAATCGGCATTGATTATGTTTGAGGCAGAAATCATGTCATTAGAGTGGTGATATAGCGAAGTATCATCTACAAATAGTCTTATTTGAGATTGCACGTTTAAAACTATGTCATCTACAAACAGAAGGAACGGAAGAGGCCCCAGAATGGATCCTCCCCTATTGGAATGATCCTAATGGGACTAATGGATCCTTCCTATTCTCAAAGCTGTAGATCTTTGTCCATTCACAAGCGTCGCTGCCTGTTCGTCAAATAGCCTGAAAACCACTTTAATAATGTATCTGACATTCCCTTTTCCTGCAACTTATAGAGTAATCCAGAGTGCCACACTTTGTCAAATGCTTTTGAGCAGTCGAGGAAAACAGCGAGTGTGAAATTGCCGTTGTCTAAGTTTTGACTTATTCCATGCACTAAATCAACTAGTTGGTTTACTGTTAAGTCGCCCTGGACAAAGCCAGACTGAAAAGAAGTTATAACTTATTTTTCTTGACATGTTCGTACATTTTCTTGAACACTAAGCGCCCTAAAACTTTTGACATTGTCGGGAGCAAACTAATTGATCTATAGTTAGTTGACAAACTATTATCCCTGTCTTTAAAAAGCGGACGTATGACTCCCATCTTCCATTGCTTTATTTGGATTGACTCTCCTTAAGCACTGTTCAACTTCACGCATTGATATGGTGAATAAACGTAGAGTAGACGCCTTCGAGAACAAAGTATTAGGCGGAATTATTCTATTATACTCGATGTCAGTCATACTAGAAATGTTTGTAAAATGTTTATTTAAGATATTGGCTTTTCGAATGTCGTTAAAGCACTCAATCCCATTCTCATCTTTCAAAACCGCAATATTAGTGGAACGTGATCTTTTAAAGAGTTATTTTACGAGTTTCCATCACGATTTACTTGAAGCGTTTGTTTTTCCGATTCGTTCGTGCCCATACTAAAAGGAAATGACGCATTGAAAAAATTGAAAAAAGCAGTTTACAAAGTAGCTTGTAAAAACTACGATCGTGTTTACGGTGAAGAGAGAGCGAGAGAACAAAAGAGAAGAATGGATGAGCATGCAAGAGACGTACACAATGGTAAAGTGACATCGAATATTGCTCAACATGCATTAAAAAAACTCTCAGGAAATTGATTTTGACAATGTTGAGACACTTAAAAATGACCGAAAAACTATAAAGGAAAGTAGCTTCACACAATTAACATACGGAAAGGTGTTCAATGATAATAAGCATTTATTACGAGCTTTTGGATAAGAACAAGTGATCAATACATGTACTTAGAGAGTACATGGTTTTTGTGGCAGTTACCCATGTTCTTTCAGAACACACATATTGAAGTGCTTCATTATGTGTATATATAATTACATCAAAACAAAAAGACAAAGAAAAGAGAACGAAGTTATTAAAATGTTCGCAATTTTCTCACTGTTGACTGATGGTGAACTAAGAACAGGTTGAAAGTCTTATGTGTGATTTTGTTTAGTATAAACTTTTCTATTTTAACAAGAAAGAAAGGAAATCGTACAAGAACAAAATCGCAACTGTTGTTGTGTTATATCACTCAATGCACTATTCCATCAGAAAATTTAAAAGGAAAAACAAAAGAAGAAAAGGTAAGACAAGAAGAAAAAGGTAAGCAAATAAATGAATCAAAAGATGATTCATCTGGCAGTCACAGATTTTAGATGACATAAATGATAGATGTGTGTGTCTATATTGAAACATAACAATTCTATTCAAATACCTCGTATCTTAGAAGCTCTTGATGAAATATGACCCAACATCTTGATCGAACGACGTTGCTTTATGCAAAACCTATTCTGAAAGAGATCAACCCTGCGGATATAGTGCCATCTCTTAGCATGTTACGTTATTGTACTTAGATAAGAGGGCTCAAACTGCATTATAATCTGTTTCACTGTTTGAAATTAGAAGATAAACTACTTTTTAAAAGCAGTAGTTAATATACGGTCAGTCCAAGCGTGACGAAATAACGACTTTTTCTTGTCTCTTTCAAATTTCTCCGCCAAATCACATCGGCAAAGGCTGAAATTTTTACAGAATGTGTGAGACTATATACTCTACAAATCCTGAAATTTCCATCAAGTTCGGACATTTGATCCAGGCGTTATAGCCAAAAATGCAGGCCGTGACGGAATAACGCAAAATGGATTTCGACTTTGACCATTCGCAAAAGAGAGTGAAACACGATCGCAAGGAAGCGTTCTATCAAAAAATCCTCCATAGCAAAGTTGTAGCTTACACGACGAGCTACACGTGGAAAAAAAGAAAAGTTTAAAAGTTTGAAATTCTGCCTTTCCCGATGCGAAAAATTGTCGTGGCGGAAGAACGATTCGAGAAATGGCCAACTTGTTTAAGGCCTTATCTGATTATCGAAACATTTGATTTTATGTGAATAGTGCAAT